GACCCTAAAGCCTAAACCTATTGAAGGATCAGGTCAAGTCACATCCCGGAGATCTTCGAAGGGGTCTTCCACAGTAACGCAGGACGGCCTGACCGGTTCTGTTGGCTTTTTTGAGGCCTTGGGTTTAGGGTTCAGGGGTTCAGGGTTTTTGGGTTGTTTGAAATGTTTAAGGGTTCAAGGGTTTAGGGTGTAGGGGTTTAGGGCTTTAGGGGTTTAGGGCTTTAGAGTTCAAGGGTTTGGGCCTGGGATGTTGCAGTTTGGGGTTCAGGGTGTAGGGCCTGATATGCGCAGTCCCAGTTTCGATAATCGCGCGAACAGTTCCGAAGCAGCGCTGATTGATGACTAGTATAGGGCCCTCAATGATTAGAATAGGGTCCTGGGACCCAGTATACTATATATGGTCACGCGCTCCGCGGCCCCCCCCACTCCCCCCCCAAAGGTCAATGGTCCGGATATAGGGTGGGACCCCCCCTCCCCTGTGGTGTGGGGTGTGGGGTCCCTCTTCCCCCTGTGGGGTGGTTGTGGGGTTTTGGGGTTTAGGGTTTAGCTTTAGCTTTTGAGTGTTGGGTTTACGGTTACAAGGTATAACGCTTCGAGTCGACAAGGGCTTAGGGAGGACTTGCGGTGTATGTTCTGCTTTAGGCTTAGAGCCTGCAGTTAGGTGGGGTTTAGGGTTGGGTGTAAGGTTGGAAGTACAACTTAAGGTTACTCAAAACAAGGGCACGCGCTGCGTTATAGGGTTTACGGCTTGCTTGCGAAGGGCTTGCGTGTGAGCCCTGGCCGCCAGCACCATCCCACCATCCAGTGGCAGCTCCAACGGCCCCGACCCCTTTCCGCACACGCCAGCACCCCCCCCCACCCTAGCAGACCATGCCATTGGGGGGGGGGGGGGCTGGGAACGCCAGACGCCTGACCATATATAACTATAAAAAGGAGCCTCCAAAAAAGTGACGGCAACTAGTAATGCTCCTATAGTAGCAGGCTGGTCTGAAAAATCGAGAATGAAGGCCTCCAACCGACCCTCAGGACTTGAGTCGGGTCACAAATAAGGCAGTTGTGGGGGGCACCAGTGGTCTGCGGAGTGTTCAAATTTAAGTCCTGGGTTTGGGGCCGTTCGGTTTTTGGGGATTGAGGCTTCAAGGTTAGCGGGTTCAGGGCTGCAGATTTGCAGGGTTTACCTCGGGTTCAGGTCTTATGGCAACAGGGGGGGCTGCTGGCGTGAACAGAACCCCTGCTGCTAGAGACCTTTCCGGATATGTCTGTTCTAACGGATGCGCAGAAAAAGGCCAAGAAGGATCCGCGTGTCAGCTACACGTTGTGATCGAAACTGATGCCGACGCTCAGAGTAGTTAGGCCACGGCCGAGAAGCTCTGTTATTAGGATGTGCACTGATCCACAAGACTGCGCGCCCGGAGAGGGCAAAGAAGAAGTATCACGGCATTTTGTCCCCTCCTTCTTGCACGGCCATTTCTCGGATCCCAATCACAATCCATTTTGGGGTAACTCGGTGTATTAATGCAACCCAATACAAAACAACCCAACGACACTTGTGAAAGCCACCTCAATGGATCCTCCGTCGCCACGCGGCGCGTCACCGGCACGGCTGCGGCCGCCAATACCAAAACAAGGGAAAGAACGCCTGCGCTCGAGTTTGGCTGAACGGGAACATTCCAGCGGAGATGCGTGTACATTCTTGGATAAAGCCGTTTGTCTTTTTGTCCTCCTTATAGGACTTGCAAGGGTGTGTGTATACATGAATACACCATATAAACACATAGGTGCACACAGATACACATAGATACACATTGATACAGATATACACACATGTATACACATGTGCACACATGTATGCTATAGGTACACACACACACACACCTACCTTCGAACATGTGCAGGCCAACAGTTAAAACAAGCAAACACACAAACAAACAAACAAACAAACAAACAAACAAACAAACAAACATACATACATACATACACACATAAATACATGCATGCATGCATGCATAATTACGTACCTAAATACTAAATACATACATACATACATACATACATGCACCCATCCTTCCATGCATGCATAACTACAGACAGAAAGACACACAGACAGACAGACAGACAAACAGACAGACAGACAGACAGACAGACAGACAGACACCCGAACACACACACACACACACACACACACACACACACACAAACACACTGCATTACAACGCAACACAATGCCAAGATATGCCAAGCAAGGCAATACAGTAGAATGCAACGCAACAGTGCAATGCAGTAATGCCATGCAACGCAACGCGAGGCAAGGCAAAGCAAGACAAGATAATACAGACAATAAATGCATACGGTACATATACTGGGATGCCGTATAACACTCGGTGGGATCGTACTAACAGATACTTGATTCAGGTTGAATGTCCTTCTGCAACACACGACAACTTCCATGCCTTGCAAATTCCTGTGCAAGTAGGGAGACACGAAATATGGTACGCTGCTTATCTGCTGATGTACATAGTTTACATCTCTCCATCTATATCACTCTTTTGCTCGGGCTCCTCGGATGTACGTGTCAGGTCGCTGCACACTTGCACCGCACCCACCATTCCACGAATCACCTCTACAGCAGAAGAAGCAAACACACCCATGTCGGTATGCATAACCGTAAATTACAGCCGCAATGTCGCATGCTCGATTCAAGCATGCCAAGCTGGCTTGTTCATCCTCATTTGCCGCGACGTACAGCCTATCGCTTAGTGACCATTGCAGCCGACTCCTGATGCTCCGGCACGAAGTTTCAGGCAAGCACACTTTCCCCGGCTGATAAGGGCGCCACTTCGTCACTCAAACCTATCTTTTGGAAAGATATGATACTTGCTTCGCTAATCGACTGTTTGCCGCAAGTAGGACATAATGGGTCGCGAAGATGCAGTTGCGGCGATGATCACTACAGCATTCACGCACCTTCTCAGCACATTCACAAAGCATCGCTCCGAATGTGACTAGTATATCTGTGGTCGCGAAGATGCAGTTGCGGCGATGATCACTCCAGCATTCACGCACCTTCTCAGCACATTCACCAAGCCTCGTTGCACATGAGACTACTATATCTGTCATCTCGTCCACACAACATATGGGTTGCACTGACCACACATTTGGTTCCTTAACCACATGAGTTTGGAGTCGATACAACAAGCCAGGTGCCCAACGACTATGACTTTTGTAAACAGCATCTGCCCAGGGCAGGTTTTTAACGCCAGAAAAAGATTGGGGCGGCCATGCCAGATTTTGCGCAGGAGTCATGTGGTGTTGGAGGTGGTTAACAAGGCGGACTTCTGGGTGTGATTCTGAGTTTTCAGAACCCAATACCCCGGCCCTGCTTGAGTCTCGTCCGGCTAAGGACACTTGAGGACTGCGACACTTCATGACGAAGAAATCCTAGCCCGTAATATGATAAAATGGGTCTTAGGGGTTAGCGTTTAGAGTTAAGACACTAGCATGTGCTTTCACGAAAAGGTTCTGCGTTGCCATGTTAACACAGGAACTGCGAGGGAACTAGTTCTCTCTGTTCAGGCTCACGACACGGGAAACCAACAAAGACCTTGCGGAACCTCCGACCACAGACAGCAGAATCCAAACCGAATGAATACTCCTGGAACGGCAGTCGCGGCTCAAGTAGCCGTGACGAATACGGGCAAGAGCAAGCAGAACAGCGCAGGGATACCCAAGCTAGAGATCACCAATCTCGAGCTGCATTAGTCAGACACATACGACCACAACTGCAAGGGATTTCGATCACTTGGTTCTTCTACCACTGTTGACGGTTTTCGGGCTCAAACTCATGCTCAAACCGTGTCCATCTTTCAGCTTTCGCCGGCTTTCATCAGTGTTGAGCTCCAGCGCGTTGAAGGTTCAGGGTTTGGGCTTGGGGCTGCACTGCCGGGCTGCTGCAGTGGGAACTTACTGCTGCAAATCGGCGACACCAAGCCAAGAAGCAGAAAGCACCCCAGCTATACAGCCCAAACCCTGGCGGACATGATGCAAGTGGCCTTCGGAGAGTGGCAGCTACAGGGCTTAGGGAGGCTATGCAGGTACCAATTATTGGTTGAATATTAAAAAATATTGAATATTAATAAAAACCCTCAATCTCCTGGTGCTTTGCGCACCTCGCATGTCGCTGGTCGCGGCACTACTCGAGGGCCATGTGCAGCTCTCTTTCCAACTTTGGCGAAAACGGCCCGTTTTCGATCGCTGCCTACTATTCCGCTATTCCGGATGAAGGCCGTAGACTTGTCGTTATCACTCGGCTGTGGTTCTAAACGTTTCTATGGTTGTTCTGTGCTGGCTGACATGACTGATCCTGTTCGTAATGCCACAAGTACGATACTGCTCTGGAGCTATCGGTAGGAATGGTGACGTCGATGCTAGTTATCCTACCCCAGTTATGCTGCTACCACTACTGCTTGCATGCTTGGCATATGCCAGTGCCGCGGCAGTGTTTCGTTAGCTTCTCCCATCTGCTTCAGGCTGGTTTAGGGCTTGTGGGCTAGGGTTTAAGGTCTGTTCAATGGGGTCAGGGGTGGAGGAAGGTGAACCTACATCATGAGCTGAGGAACAAACTTGGATTCTTTCGCACAGTCTGCAAGTCAGTTTTGCTCAGGAACCAATAGTCCAAAAGCTCTTGTCAGTTAAGGAAACAACCCTCCATGATCATGACATTGATGAGGAAACAGCTGGCGCGCAGGATTGGCACAGGGCTGAAGCCAGCTGCAGTGAACTCTCAACCCTAAGCCCTGAATCACTCCCCGAACTTCAAAACCCAGACAACAACCTTAAAAATTAGAATAGGGTTTTGGGGCCCGTTATACTATAATTTTACATTGTTTCTAAGGAACCCCCAAAACAGTATGGGTAATTATTAAGGCCCCTATAGTAGCCCCGAAGCCTGTGATGCTGGGACAATCTGTTCAGCGAACGTTCTTGCAGAACCCTCTCGCAGCCTGGCGGGAGTCGTGGGTCGTCTCCCAAGTGAGGTTGGCACAGGGGGTGAAGACATCCCACCTGAATGCGACCATGATCCCTCAATACCGGGACCTTGCTACTTGGAAGAGAATTTTGGTGATATATTCTACTACTGTAATTAATGCTGGTCATTACTCTCTCTCTCTCTCTCTCTCTCTCTATATATATGTCTCTCTGTCTCGCTGGGACTTGGAGAGAACTGCTAAACTGTGTTTACGATGCCGAGCTGATCCTGCTGTGTTGGGTTCTGCCGTCGCCATTCCTGTGACCAAGTCCTCGAGACGTAACTAGGTGTCGATGTCAACATCCCCAAAACGATTTGCAATTAGTGCTCTGTATTAAACAATAAGAGAAATTTAAAAGTTTCCCACATCGATACCTAGGTATTCAACAAAGAAGAAAATTCATCGAGCTTCCGGCCCATGTGAATGCAATCGGACATTCTCACAGGTGAGCTGCCCATGGAAGTGCAAGGAGTTCCTGGGCTGTAGGATTATTGCAAGACTGCCCTCGCAGCTGTGGGAGTTTTAGGACGAAGACCTCCGCAGATGAGGTACCCCCCCTTTGTCTTATTCATAAGGCCGTCGCCGCTCTTGTAATTTGCGGATGGTGGGCTCTGGACTTCAACGGAGCTATCGCCGTTGCGATCGACATGCTTGTAAGGGTAAGGCTCGGGTTTTCAAGTTTAGAGTTTTAGGGTTTGGGGTTTTAGGGTGTAGGCTTTTTTCTTTTTAGGGTTTAGGGTTTTAGGGTTTTAGGGTTTTGGGGTTTCAGGGTTTGGGTTGGCACTGGAAGCTTGGGTCTCGGAATGTCTCCACCCTAACCGACGAGAATGCGGCTCCGTTTGGCATGTACACAACCATAGCGGTAGTACTCCGCAACGGCAACAGCAATGATACGAGGAATAGCCATGGCAATGCAAGCTACAGTCACAGCAACAATGTAACAACAATCATACTGATGCGACAGCTGAAAATCGCCGATTTTGCGCGAATAGAAGCAGGGGGTGTACATCCTCTGAAGCTAGCAGATATGTCTGAGCTGTAGTCCCGCAGAAAAGACCAGAACCTGGATAGAACGAAGCCGCTAAGAACATACTGGGTCATGACCATCTTTCTGTCATGAACGAAGTAACGAAGAATATGGTTGAGTATCCGTAGTGCTCCATTACCTACTTCTGCTGCGGTCGACTCTGCAGCGGGATATGTGATTGATCATATGCTTTTCTTATGTTGCCTCAAACAGAACCTCTAACAACAAATTCAGTGTAGAGGGTTGGAACAGCACTGGTGTCCCGGGTCTCTACGATGCAGTTCAAAATCTACTCGGAGGATCATGGGACTTAGTAATTAGGGTTATAAGTTAAGTTATAAGTAAGGTGACTATACTTATAATGACTTATAACCCTAATTAGGATACTTATAACCTTACTTACTAAGTCCCCTGATCCTCCAAGTATGCCCTAAACCCTAAACCCTGTAGATCCCTTTAAGGAGCCCCTATAGATCCCTTTAAGGAACCCTTTCAAAACCCTTACTACGTCCCCTGATCCTCCAAGTATGCTTGGGGAGTCATGTCCAAGTTCGGGGGTGTGGGTCCCACGGTTGATAATTCCTTTAAAGGGATCTATAAGGGGTACCTTTAAGGGGCTCCTGTAAGGGATCTATAGGGTTTAGTGTTTAGGGTTGATGATATAAATCCTGCATTACCTTAAGGACCCTAAACTATGGGAATGATGGTATATTCCTTATTATGGGTAATGCAGGATTTATATCATCAACCGCAGAACCTGCAACCCAGCAGCATGCACGGGTCCGCGGGCACCTTCCAGCGAGTAGCTTCGAAATACCGCAGGCGTTCTCTAATCTAATGTAATATCGTATTCTGTTGTTTTATATTGTTTTTTCACATCCTATACTAAATGTGGAAATTCCATTATACTCAGCTGGGCTCCTCTACAGCTTGACGCCGCGGAGTCGAAGCACTGTGTAGTTGAAGATACATGCAAGGTCAAGGTAGAACTCCAGGTGTCGATTGAGGGTTTCATCGATACCTACAAAGAACTTCATCTACGGCCGAGGTGTGAAATACATGCCAGCCGAAACCCTCCGGAAGTGCAACCTTATCGGGCTAGTGCTAGGGTTTATGGCACCCGCGACCTCTGTCAGAATGTCACAGGTGGAGAAGGAGTTGTGCGGCGTGAAGTAGGCAACCTTGGTGTGACAGCTCCCAAAACCACTTGTCTCGACATTCTCCGGTATAACCACTGCAGCTGTCAGCGAAACCACCGGCGGAGCGGGATCTGCGAGGAAGAGCCCAGACCAAAACATTCCCAGGCCAGCAAAATGCACCGGACTCTAAAGCCTCTGCTGCTCCGGCACAACGTCCTAGATTAACCTCTCAAACCAAAAGCCCGGCAAAGCTTCAGAACCTCCCCCCTTCTGCTGTAAAGCACTTTTGGGCCAAGCACTGGGGCTGGAATGCCGAAGCCTGGGATGTTGTTTGCCGGGGGCGGTAGTGGACATGGTAGAGGAGGGGGAAACGTTGGCACAAAAACTTGGCTAGCAGACCGTGCGGCAATGTTCGACAATGCAAAGCTCCAGCTGCGGATGATGCGATGCCGGAAACATGAGACGCATCAGCAAACGAAGCCTCGTGGAAACTTGAGTCCTGGAGCACTGTCAATATGACTTGCTCTCTCCCTTGAATCCGTACCCTGTAGCAGCAGCTCGATCCTCTTATGAAGCTTGGGAGCTGTGGTTGAAGAACCGCCTGCGCCACCTGGTGAAGCAGCCAGCTCGGAACCCGGATGTGCAGGGATCTGGGTGTGTGGATGTAGGTAGGTTGTAAGCCCCATGTAAAGCAACGACGGCGAATTGGTCTCTCCGCTGCTTCGCCCACACTTCTGAATTGAATTGAGCTTCTTACAACTCCATTTTTCTCCGTGGTGCGAGCGCGGTTTTCCCTAAACGGTGTATACCAAACAGATATTGTTCGAAAGCTCCCAGTGTCCAAGAAAGCCTGGCGAGCCTGCAGAACCTGACCCCGAAATCCTCGAAACCCTCCCAAACAACAAACCCTGTATCATTCTACCTATCCTGCTTTCTTTATGTCGATCATCAGACCCCATCCTATCCCCTTCCACGTCATCTCACGTCTATCCATCTATCTACGTGTGTATAGATAACCTATACTATAGATAGATAGATAGACAGATAGGTCCGATAGGTATGTGTACTCATGTAGGTCCGTGGGTCGGTCGGACTCTGATCGGCCTGTCAGCATACATGGACGCATACAAATCTACCAATGTGGACAGACATGTGTATGTATGCAGTTACATGCATACACCTAGGTCCTAGGTCCTAGGTCTAGATGTACAAATGTATACGTCTGTAAAGCCATACATCTATATATCTATATATATATATATATATATGTATATGTACATGGTACATCTATACATTCATACATACCTACACACACTCCTCCATTCATTCACTCATTCGTTCATTCATTCACTCCCTCATCAGTCAGCCAGCAGTCAGTCAGTCAATCAGTCAGTCAGTCAATCAATCAATATGTTCATATGTAAGTACGCAATTGCCAACCTACCGACACATCATACCTACCCACGTACACATACACATACACCTACACACACATACGCATATACATATAAATATAAGCCAAAACATCTATACATATATATGGTACCATATACACATATATATGTATGGCACCCATAGACATACACGCACATATATATATATATATATATATATATATATATATTTATTTATTTATATATATATATATATATATATATATGTGTGTGGGAAGGTTGCGCCTGATCCAGCCAAAGTTCTTGTCGAAGGCTGCTGCCTTGGCCAGGCTCAGCTTCACACCATCGAGCTGGGAGTGCTGCAGAGGCAGGCTGTACATTACTTACCTTTGGCTAGTAGGGAATGGAGGAATGGGGCAGTCTTAAATCCTCATGCACTAAACCCTAAACCCTTAGCCCTAAACCCTAAACCCCGAAACACTTAAACCCTAAACCCTCAGCCCTAAACCCTAAACCCCAAAACACTCCAAATCCTAATGTACTTACCTTTGGTTAGTAGGGAATGGAGGAATGGTAGTAATAGTAGCTATAATAGTACTCCAACTTGAACTTACGGCTTGGGATGTAGAGCGCAGAGTGTTTCAGTCTGGCCGATTGACGGTGACTCAGGGCCCAGCAGCAAGTGCACCAGGAGGGACGTTGCAGTTCCCTTCCTTAGAAGGGATATGGTTGCCCTACCCTGAAGTTTAAACACATAGTTCATGATGTCTCTACTCCACTTTACTCTACTCAACTCTACTTTTCTCGTGGTGCTGTTGCCAAGGCTCCACGTCGACGAGTTCGCTGATCCATTGCCATCTCCTGCAAATTTCTGGAGCTCCGGGGCCACTTGAGATGTGGATCCCTGGATATCAGGAAACCCCAATCCTTGCCCTGGACCCTTAAGCATGGACTCCCCGAATGGTGAGGGAAGCACGGACTCGCTGTCACTCTTCGTTGCAACCGCATCAAAGGGAAGCTGAGCTCTGCGGGAAGCTGAGCTCTGACTGAGCTCGCGGCTCATCTTCGTGTGTCCGCGACATCCAGCTGATGACGGGCTTCAGCTGCGATCTGCCGAGGAGGACTGATTTTCCAAGCACAAACGGCTCCCAGCACCTCTACGAATCGAATCTGACCCGAAGCCATGTGATCGAAGCTGCCTGGTCTGACCGGTTAACAACAAAGCTGCGAGTCCCAGCCCGTCGCGGACCTGCGAAGAGCGACGGCCAGGTCGTTCCGCAGCCACCTGGACTCACAGAGAAAGTATCAGGTGTGCGACGCCCTGCACTGAAATCAATCTCCCAGGAGCTTTGTTTCAATGATCTGGGCAACCTGAGGCCACGGCTCATCCCACATTGGCGCGAAGCGCAAATATGGTCCTCAAGACAGGGTTCGATTCTCTGAGCCCATGACACCCTCAAAAAGTGCTGAGCGGGAAAATCCTCAAAGCCCCGACTGGATGGCCAGAGCCCCCTCCCTCCTGGTGCTCTACGGTGCTACACCCTAAATCTTACAACCTCTACAAAGGAAAACGGAACTCTCTAACTAACCCTCAACTCATGCGTCGGGACCCAGCACCCTGGAGCCGTAGAGCCCGGGAGCCACAAAACGTGAAAGACTCCACACCATTGGGGCGGAGGCTGCAGCTCTGGTAGACGTAGGGCCTCACTTCGGGAGTCGATCCGCAGTTTGGGGTTCAGGTTTAGGATTCCGGGCTCAGGGTTAGGGTTCAGGGTTTCAGGATAAAAGCCTTTCAAGTCGGGTGTTGGGGTGTTGGGGGCTGAAGTGCCTCGGCGCTGCCGAGTTCAGGGTGGCTTCAGCATGTTTTAAGGTTGGGGTTTGCGCAGTTCGGGGTTTAGTGTGTAGGGTTTAGGGGTTGTGCGCCGTTGTGGTCATTATTTTGCTTCGACATCTTCAACAAGCTCGCCGCAGCAGCCGACTACCGTGCACATAGCAACCATCAACGTGAAGCCTTTGGGGCAGTTCACAGACGATAGACAGTGCTCGTTGATGCAGACAGATATGGGAGGTTCCGAGAATAGGGGACCCTAATGTAGCACCCTAAATAATAGGATCCTTAATTATAAGGACCCCGAAATCAGGTACCCGAAACTGACGGAAAGTCCCATATATGTCCAGGCATCCTCCCTGTTCCTGTCCCCCCTAGCAGCTTCCGAGTTCCAGGCTCGCCGTGCCACAGCAGCTGGGCGCAGTACCTGTTAAGGCTTAAGGGCTCTGTAAGGGCTGTAAATGGCTATAAGTTATAAGGGGTTTCGGGTTCAAGGCTTGGGGTTGGGGGTCTATAGAGCCCAGGCAAAGACATTGTGGTTAGGCTTGGCATTCAAACGGGGCATTGAACTTGGAGCAAGCTGTAACTATAAAACCATGCTGGGTAGTCATTCGCATTGCGCTCTGGATGGGCTGCTCATGTCTTATCTAAGACAACGGAGTTTCCTCGATAGCAAGTCTGCAGCCTCATCCAGCCCACACCGACTTTCTCGCCGTTCCTCCTGCCAGGAAGGGTTGTGACAACGAGCGAAACTCGCCGCAAAAGTAAGTAGCGGAGACATTTCGTTGAACTTACAACAATTGGCCGTCGGTGAGATCTCTGAGCTCTTCCAGCCTCGTCTCGCCAACTCGCATGACGCGAAGACGCCCCTTCCGACAGACAAGCTTGATCTTCCTGGTTCCTACGAACGTCCCGCTTGCTTGAAAAAGCTGGGAGGGAGGAATCGGCTGGTTGCAGAACTCTTCGGACACTGCCGAAAATCCTAAAAAAACCTAAACCCTAAACCCTAAACCAAAGCCGGAGAAATCTGACCCCGCAGCGGCCCTGCCTCTAAAAGGCTCCAGACGTTGTAAACTTCGCCATGGACGACGACCTGTCTCCGAGTTTTCGGGTGGTTTAATATAAGTGCCTGAATACTTAGAATGGGGTTTGGGGGCATATTATTATATTATACAATAGTTCGCAGTTAGAATAAGGAACCCCCAAAAGCCTATTATAACTATTAAGGCCCCTGCATGAGCTGCCTGGTCGAACCCTGAATAGAGGAACAAGCTTCCTGCGAATCGCATCCTCTCAAGCGGCCGCAGCACCCAGTCACAAGCTGGGCAAGTGAGATTCGGAAGCTCACGATGGAAGTTTGGACACGTCCACTTGGATTCGAAGAGACGTAGCCAAACCGTTCTTTTTCTTGCATCGTGCTGCAGAACCCGCTCTTCTGGAAGGGCTCAACTAAAGGGCCGTCCGAGAGACACAACAAACCCTCCAGTACTGGTGTTGGTGCTCCTCCTCCTCCCGCCTGGCGGGGCTTGGGGATGCGCGTGGCTCTCTCGCCGAGCCGCAGCATCCGGTAGTATTTCTTCTGCCACTCCTCGTCGAGACTTTCTGCTTCGGGGCTCTGCAGTTTGGCATGAAAGGAACACCTTTTACCGGAAATGCCCACTGTGGACGACGCCAGCATGTTTTCATGAATGCATGCTGAGGCGATCCCTTTCACCCGAAAGATCCTCGGTGAACATCTCCAGTTCGTCGGGGGACTTGTAGCCTGCTTCAATGTCGCACTTATAATCATAGTTATAGTGTAGATTCCTTACTATGATAATTAGAATAGTATGATAGCTCTTATTATTATAGTTATGGTATAGTTTCTGTATTAATCCCCTCCCCCTTTTATTAAAGGACCCCCTAATTATAAAAACACTTTTCCCCCGATCCACCCGGAAGTAGCACCGCCCTTTAAACCCTAATTTGAATTAGGGGGAAGGTTTAGGGTCTATAGATTGAGGGTTTAGGGGGAAGAATTATAATTGCATGACTCAGCAACTGCTCAATTGAGCCGCATGAAAAGCTTTATTAGTCAAGCCTTTATTGAAGCCTATTTTTTTAATGCGTATTTACGGATTTAGTGTGTATTTGCACGGATTTGTGTGTTTGCACGGATTTAGTGTGTATTTGCACGGATTCAGTGTGTATTTGCACGGATTTAGTATGTATTTGCATGGATTCACGGATTTAGATGTATTTGCACGGATTCCGTGTGTATTTGCACGGATTTGGTGTGTATTTGCACTCACGTCCTGTGTAGTTGCACGAATTTAGTGTGTATTTGCATGGATTTGCACTGATCGTGAGTATTTGCACGCAGTATTTGGTGTCTAATTACAGGGATGTAGTGTGTGTATTTGCACAGATTCCGTGTGTATTTGCACGCATTTACTGTGTGCCTGGTGTGTAGGTAGAGGGATTTAGTGTGTGTGTCTTTACACGGATTTAGTGTGTGTTTGCATGGATTCGGCGTGTATTTGCACGGATTCAGTGTGTATTTGCATGGATTTGGTGTGTATTTGCACGCATTTCGTGTGTATTAGCACGAACTTGGTGTGCATGTACACGAACTTCGTATGTCTTTGCACGGTTTAATGTGCATTTGCACGGATTTGGTGTGATTTGCAACCCTTATAATAGCGTTTCTTAAGTCTCCAGAGAGCCCCCAGAGCTTCAGGTCACCCCAAAATCTCGATTCCGGGTGGGGAAAGGGCCCAAATGACACCCCCGGGGATTGAGCCCGCAGCCTTTGCGAGGAGGGCTTTGGAGGCAGACGTTTACCCATTAGGCCATGGCCAGATAGTTCTGGGGGCTGGTGGCTGCCTCACTAGGGGAATTAGGCACGGTCGCAGGCCCAATTCTGGCGGTGTCCCCGTGGGCCCTTTCCCCATCCAGAATCGAAATTTGAAATGACCAAAAACCGCCAAGAGCACAACCAAACCCGCCGAAAACCGCGCAAACCCACCAAAACCCTCCCCGGTGCAAGTTCCCAACATCAACAGCAGGTTGCAGAGGTTGAACCAGCAGGTTGCAGAGGTTGAACCAGCAGGTTGCAGAGGTTGAACCAGCAGGTTGCAGAGGTCGAAGCTGCAGGTTGCAGAGGTTGAAGCAACAGGTTGCAGAGGTTGAACCAGCAGGTTGAAGAGAGGTTGAACCAGCAGGTTGCAGAGGTTGAACCAGCAGGTTGCAGAGATTGAAGCAGCAGGTTGCAGAGGTTGAAGCAGCAGGTTGCAGAGGTTGAACCACAGCAGGTTGCAGAGGTTGAACCAGCAGGTTGCAGAGGTTGAACCAGCAGGTTGCAGAGGCAGAGGTTGAACCAGCAGGTTGCAGAGGTTGAAGCAGTAGGTTGCAGAGGTTGAAGCAGTAGGTTGCACAGGTTGAACCAGCAGGTTGCACAGGTTGAACCAGCAGGTTGCAGAGGTTGAACCAGCAGGTTGCAGAGGTTGAACCTGCAGGTTGCAGAGGTTGAACCAGCAGGTTGCAGAGTTTGAAGCAGCAGGTTGCAGAGGTGAGCCAGCAGGTTGCAGAGGTTGAACCAGCAGGTTGCAGAGGTTGAAGCAGCAGGTTGCAGAGGTTGAAGCAGCAGGTTGCAGAGGTTGAACCACAGCAGGTTGCACAGGTTGAACCAGCAGGTTGCAGAGGTTGAACCAGCAGGTTGCAGAGGCAGAGGTTGAAGCAGCAGGTTGCACAGGTTGAACCTGCAGGTTGCAGAGGTTGAACCTGCAGGTTGCAGAGGTTGAAGCAGCAGGTGCAGAGGTTGAACCTGCAGGTTGCAGAGGTTGAAGCTGCAGGTTGCAGAGGTTGAAGCAGCAGGTTGCACAGGTTGAACCCAGGTTGCACAGGTTGAACCAGCAGGTTGCAGAGGTTGAACCAGCAGGTTGCAGAGGTTGAACCTGCAGGTTGCAGAGGTTGAACCTGCATGTTCCAGAGGTTTGGTGGGCTTGCGCGGTTTTGGGCGGGTGTGGTTGTGCTCTCTTGGCGCTTTTGGTCATTTCAACATTTCGATTCTGGATGGGGAAAGGGCCCAAAATGACACCGCAAGAATTGGGCCTGCGACCTCTCCCAAAACTACTAGCAAGGTGCGCAACCTTTCGCAAAACTATCTGGCCATGGCCTAATGGGTAAGTGTCCGGCTCTAAAGCCTTCTTGGCAAAATTCGTGGGCTCAATCCCCGGGGGCGTCATTTAGGCCCTTTCCCCACCCGGAATCGAGATTTTGGGGTGGCCTGAAGCTTTGGGCTCTCCGGGGACTCTCTAGAGCGGACTGGGTGCACATCCGGCTTTCGTGGGGCAGGTTGCAGAGGTTGAACCAGCAGGTTGCAGAGGTTGAACCAGCAGGTTGCAGAGGTTGAAGCAGCAGGTTGCAGAGGTTGAAGCAGCAGGTTGCACAGGTTGAACCAGCAGGTTGCAGAGGTTGAACCAGCAGGTTGCAGAGGGAGAGCAGCAGGTTGCAGAGGTTGAAGCTGCAGGTTGCAGAGGTTGAACCACAGCAGGTTGCACAGGTTGAACCAGCAGAGGTTGAACCAGCAATTTGCAGAGGTTGAACCAGCAGGTTGAACCTGCAGGTTGCAGAGGTTGAAGCAGCAGGTTGCAGAGGTTGAACCAGCAGGTTGCAGAGGTTGAACCAGCAGGTTGCAGAGGTTGAACCTGCAGGTTGCAGAGGTTGAACCTGCATGTTCCAGAGGTTTGGTGGGCTTGCGCGGTTTTGGGCGGGTGTGGTTGTGCTCTCTTGGCGCTTTTGGTCATTTCAACATTTCGATTCTGGATGGGGAAAGGGCCCAAAATGACACCGCAAGAATTGGGCCTGCGACCTCTCCCAAAACTACTATCAAGGTGCGCAACCTTTCGCAAAACTATCTGGCAATGGCCTAATGGGTAAGTGTCCGGCTCTAAAGCCTTCTTGGCAAAGGTCGTGGGCTCAATCCCCAGGGGCGTCATTTGGGCCCTTTCCCCACCCGGAATCGAGATTTTGGGGTGGCCTGAAGCTTTGGGCTCTCCGGGGACTCTCTAGAGCGGACTGGGTGCACATCCGGCTTTCGTGGGGCAGGTTGCAGAGGTTGAACCAGCAGGTTGCAGAGGTTGAACCAGCAGGTTGCAGAGGTTGAAGCAGCAGGTTGCAGAGGTTGAAGCAGCAGGTTGCACAGGTTGAACCAGCAGGTTGCACAGGTTGAACCAGCAGGTTGCAGAGGTTGAAGCAGCAGGTTGCAGAGGTTGAAGCAGCAGGTTGCAGAGGTTGAACCACAGCAGGTTGCACAGGTTGAACCAGCAGGTTGCAGAGGTTGAACCAGCAGGTTGCAGAGGCAGAGGTTGAAGCAGCAGGTTGCACAGGTTGAACCTGCAGATTGCAGAGGTTGAACCTGCAGGTTGCAGAGGTTGAAGCAGCAGGTTGCAGAGGTTGAACCTGCAGGTTGCAGGGTTGAACCAGCAGGTTGCAGAGGTTGAACCACAGCAAGTTGCAGAGGTTTAACCAGCAGGTTGCAGAGGTTGAACCAGCAATTTGCAGAGGTTGAACCAGCAGGTTGAACCTGCAGGTTGCAGAGGTTGAAGCAGCAGGTTGCAGAGGTTGAACCAGCAGGTTGCAGAGGTTGAAGCTGCAGGTTGCAGAGGTTGAAGCTGCAGGTTGCAGAGGTTGAAGCAGCAGGTTGCAGAGGTTGAAGTTGCACAGGTTGAAGCAGCATGAAGCAGCAGGTTGCAGAGGTTGAACCAGCAGGTTGCACAGGTTGAACCAGCAGGTTGCACAGGTTGAACCTGCAGGTTGCAGAGGTTGAAGCAGCAGGTTGCAGAGGTTGAACCTGCAGGTTGCAGAGGTTGAAGCTGCAGGTTGCAGAGGTTGAAGCAGCAGGTTGCACAGGTTGAACCAGCAGGTTGCACAGGTTGAACCAGCAGGTTGCAGAGGTTGATCCACAGCAAGTTGCAGAGGTTTAACCAGCAGGTTGCAGAGGTTGAACCAGCAATTTGCAGAGGTTGAACCAGCAGGTTGAACCTGCAGGTTGCAGAGGTTGAAGCAGCAGGTTGCAGAGGTTGAACCAGCAGGTTGCACAGGTTGAACCAGCAGGTTGCACAGGTTGAACCAGCAGGTTGCAGAGGTTGAACCAGCAGGTTGCAGAGGTTGAAGCAGCAGGTTGCAGAGGTTGAACCAGCAGGTTGCAGAGGTTTGGTGGGTTTGCGCGGTTTTGGGCGGGTGTGGTTGTGCTCTCTTGGCGCTTTTGGTCATTTCAACATTTCGATTCTGGATGGGGAAAGGGCCCAAAATGACACCGCAAGAATTGGGCCTGCGACCTCTCCCAAAACTACTACCAAGGTGCGCAACCTTGCCAAAAACTATCTGGCCATGGCCTAATGGGTAAGTGTCCGGCTCCGAAGCCTTCTTGGCAAAGGTCATGGGCTCAATCCCCAGGGGCGTCGTTCGGGCCCTTTCCCCACCCGGAATCGAGATTTTGGGGTGGCCTGAAGCTTTGGGCTCTCTGGGGACTCTCTAGAGGGGACTGGGTGCACATCCGGCTTTCGTGGGGCAGGTTGCAGAGGTTGAACCAGCAGGTTGCAGAGGTTGAACCAGCAGGTTGCAGAGGTTGAAGCAGCAGGTTGCAGAGGTTGAAGCAGCAGGTTGCAGAGGTTGAGCCAGCAGGTTGCAGAGGCTGAACCAGCAGGTTGCAGAGGTTGAAGCAGCAGGTTGCAGAGGTTGAAGCAGCAGGTTGCAGAGGTTGCAGAGGTTGAACCTGCAGGTTGCAGAGGTTGAAGCAGCAGGTTGCAGAGGTTGAACCTGCAGGTTGCCACATGTGCTCTTCTGCACTTGTGCAACCATGAAGCATTGCTATCATCAACAACAACATCATCATCATGTTCTTCATCATCATCATGTTCTTCTCCTGGACCATGATCATCGTCATCATTACCATCACCACCACTACCGCCATCTTCATCATAACAAGCATCACCGTAATCGTCATCATCATTTTCATCGTCATCATTTTCATCATTTAATTACTTGTAGAACCTGTGTTTCTAGGAATTGAGATAACAACACCCCCCTAATTATAAAAACATTTTCGAGTTTTTATTTAGGGCGAAGGGGGGGGGGCCCCGACCCTTTAATATTAGGGGGAAGGGATTATAATTATAGCATAATCGCTCGCATGTTTAAAAAGTGCGATCAAGCGGCCGACATAGGCCACACCGACACTTATCGCTTTCTTGTCCTTTCAAGGCACAGCATGGCCGAGGCAACTCAACCATCCGCAAACGAACTGCAATTTCCTGTCTAGCTCCTCCTATTCGTTGTCTTTTGCCGCTGCCGTTAGGTTGACAAAACATAAAGCCCCGTCAGTCTTCTAGCATTTTCGCGCCACGGACACACTCGCACCTCGTTGGTGGGATGACCATCACCAATCTCTCGACACAAAATGCCCATTGCATGGCAAAGCAGACTCAGGTAATCCAACTTGCGGAACCTCCGTTACAAAGTTTACAAAGTATCAAAGAGGACTTCTGGAGCATTCTGCCAAGTCCATTCCCCAAGTCCGGATTGCGATTTCAACCTATACTTACCTTTCGGCCCGACATAGCTCATGCTACACTGTCCTTGGCTTGCGAGGCCATGGAAAGCAGCGTTTCGGGCAGTTCGATCTGGTCTCTGCCCACAGCACTGCTCCTCACGCGAGGGCAAATTCGGGTTATTTTTGGGACGCGCTGAAACAAGGGTCCTGCCACCGAGGGTCCATATTAGGATTCTGAAACTCCCAGAGAATTACTGCCCCTGAAAGAGTCCGGCATGTGAGGTCTGGCATGACGCCAAATCAGATGCCAAATCATAAATTGAAGTTTGGAACCTACGTGTACGATCTTCCGCCTGGTGTCGAGGCGCGAGAAAAACGTTGAACCCTAACCCCAATCTATGCCACCCACGGAGATGTGGAGGTCCCGCACATGCACACGAAGATGGCTCGCTGGCTGACCTAGGATGTTCTAGTTTCCTGAAGGACTGCGAGAAGGCACACATACATATACACGATTCCTTCGTCAGGTCTCACTTGCAAAATCTCATTTCGAGCCAACATATTTGTTCCAACCCTCCTTTTGAGGAATTGTTTTGCGGAGATCTTTGGAGATTTGGAGAGCGTCCGACGGCACTTAGGCTTGGAAGACGGTCGACAAGCTGCAATGACTCCTAAGCATGCTGTCTTACGGTCCTAGGCCGGCCCGCTAAGGGGTGACATAAGATCCTCATGAGCTCAATAAGAGACCTGGGTTCCACCAATGTCTCATTAACATATCCGAAGAGGCCGAGCCAAGAGTAGTGAGTGCTGTTGTTGCGGGTTTGGTCCCGGTCGTAGCATTTCTTTTAAGCAGGGGCGGCCCGGCGAAGATATGCAGGCTTGCTGAGGCTACATCAGAGGGAGATCTGGGGGGTTCGTTCTGGAAGGTCGAGTACCTGGTGCAGGGGTCCTTAAACGTAAAGCAGCTATAGTAAAGTCTACAAATCGACATGTATCGGGGCCTTCGATTCTGAAACTCCCTCGTGGCACTTACTTACCTGGTTGCGGAACAAGACACAACCCACGCCGGGCTCCTAAACCCCTAAACCCCAAAGCCCCCAAAACCCCTAGACCCTAAACCCTCCCTAAATCCTAAACACTAAACTCTAAAACCCCTGAGCCCGAAACGGACAGTGGCCCCCGAGCTTCTGGCTTGCTGGAACCACTCAGGCTCTACTTCCGGCTCAGGTTTGGCCTTGATCTCGTGGCTCTAAGGGCAGTTTAAGGTTTAGCGGTAGTTTGGGGTTTTCCCATAGGCTCCATAGTAGTTCCTTTTGGGGGTTACCTTATAGGAGTCTGATAGGAACCCAAAAAGGAACCACTATGGAGCCTATGGGTAGGGCTTAGAGTTTAACGACTTTTTTGGTCCATGTCCGAGGGCCTTTTGAAGGCTTCAGATGTAGGCTTGTCAAACCTACGGGCGCTGTCTACGGCAACATGAGTCAAGAAAGATGCAGGCAAATGTAGCTGGAAGATGCTCGCATATGTCATAAAGAAGGACCGCACGAGACAGAGCACTCGCGTGAAACGCAGGGCGTTTCAGGCCCTGCCGTGCGACCTCGGATGACGCACCGAGTAAGCCCCGAATCCCGAACCTCAAATCCTGACCGTCCCGTACAGCCCCAAAAACTGCAATGAAACCCCAAACCCCGAAACCCTGAAACCCTAAACCGTGAAACCCTAGACCCCAAACCCCGAAACCCTGAAACCCTAAACCCTGAAACCCTGAAACCCTGAAACCCTAGACCCCAAACCCCGAAACCCTAAACCCTGAAACCCAGAAACCCGACACCCCAAACCCCGAAACCCATAAACCCTGAAACCCTGAAACCCTAGACCCCAAACCCCGAAACCCTGAAACCCTAAACCCTGAAACCCTGAAACCCAGAAACCCGAGACTCCAAACCCCGAAACCCCTAAACCCTGAAACCCCGAAACCCTAGACCCTGAAACCCTAGACCCCAAACCCCGAAACCCTAGACCCTGAAACCCTAGACCCCAAACCCCGAAACCCTAGACCCTGAAACCCTAGACCCCAAACCCCGAAACCCTGAACCCTGAAACCCTAGACCCCAAACCCCGAAACCCTGAAACCCAGAAACCCTAGACCCCAAACCCCGAAACCCTGAAACCCTAAACCGTGAAACCCTGAAACCCTAGACCCCAAACCCCGGAACCCTGAAACCCTAAACTCTGAAACCCAGAAACCCCAGACCCCAAACCCCGAAACCCTGAAACCCTGAAACCCTAGACCCTTCAAGCCCCAACCCTACTTGGAGGATCAGGGGACTTAGCAAGTAAGGTTATAAGTACCCTATTTGGGGTTATAAGTAATTACAAGTATGGTTACCGTATTTATAACCCTAATTACTAACTCCCATGATCCTTTAAGTACCCCAAAACCCGTATAGATCCATTATCGAAACCTTTAAGGAACCCTTGTAGATCCCTTTAAGGAGCCCTTTAAGGAACCCTAGTTACTAACTCCCATGATCCTTTAAGTAATCCGACACACGTCGAAGTCCCCGGGCCGACTCCCTCATGATCGGGCCAAGGAGAGCCTGGCTGAAAGTCTCTGATTAGGGTTTAGGGTTTAGGGGCTTTGGTGACTTTGGGCCTTGGGGTTTAGGATTCGGGGCTTGGGGCCTAGTTCTTCTAGAGCCTTGGGGTCTAGCTTTGGGTGGTTTGGGGCCGTGAACTACAACAGTTCTAAAGACATAGAAGCTTCGGTCTTGGCTTTTGCTTGAAGCACGCCATAGCAAATAGTAAACGCCTTCTTTGGAGCCCGTCCCAAACTCAAGCCCTCATCCCAAGCCCGAAACCCCGATCACCTCTTCGAGGATGCCCCAACCCAGGATGGTTTCGAGAGCTGCTATCCTTGACTTTGGTTAGTAGGGAGTGGAGGAATGGGGTACGGTTATAACTACTATTACTACCATTCTTCCATTCCCTACTAACCAAGAGTAAGTATTCGGCTAGGCCCTTCACTGAGGCGGACTCGCCTGCCGCTTCCGCCCCAGGCGCCTCGGCTGCTTTCGGCGCTTCCAGCTAGGGCCGGATGACCAGTCTAGGCATAATCTGAAAAAGCGCGCTCGCAACAGCAGGATGCACAGCCCAGTGCCAGACGTTCAAAGCAGTGCTGGAGGCAGCCTAAGCAATACCCCACACAAACACGGCAGCAGAAGCACACCCTGAAGCCTAAGCCCTAAACTTTGAGGATCGCATCAAATCGGACAAGGGCCGCACTCTTGCAGCGCCTTTCCAGCGGCATTTTCCTGCAAATCTGGCTTCTGGGTTTCTCGGTGGAGAAGGTCAAAGTTTCGAGTGTAAGGGCTTCTCTGGTGGAGCTGGTTTGGAGAAACTGCGACCCATACGGACACTTCTGAAGCGAACCTCAAAGATAGCCTACAATGATAGCGCTGAATCTGTTCCGAGATGCTCTTAAAACTCTACTCACAGCATCCCACATCGAGTCCATGCTGATCAGGCTGCCAATATGGCGTGCATTACGACACTATGCCGCAAAACCCTCAACCCCGAAGCGCCCAGAACAACCAGGCCTGGTCCATCTGCAGAAACTTCCTGATGTCCCTCTGGGCCTGCCAAGGCGTCTGCTTCGCCATGCTCCGCGGGTTGGGGGTTTAGGGTCTTAACCCTCAGCCCCAGACCTGAAGGCTTGCAATCGCTCTGCACCTGCCTCTGAGCGGCTATTGAATAAACAATCAACTCCAACTTCTGTACTTGGGAGACGCACACAAGCCACCTGAAATCCGAAACCTTAAACCCAGTGCCCTTCAGTTGGCGAAGAAGGCGCGCCTGGGCGAGGATAGCATCAGCCCCCTTGGCCTCCAAACTTGCAAGCGCACACACACACACAACAGATGTGTGAAGGATCTCTCTGTCCAGATATCACATTGTTCGGAGCGGGAGAGACAACATGAGAAAAGGGTCAATATACACACACATACTTGTAAACACCGATGTACCTGTACACATACATACATACCTACCTACATATATACATACATGAATGCTATACTTAGAGCAGCATCTGGACGCGTGGGTGATGAGGTGGTCTCCCAGCTCAGGCGCCTGCCGTGTTCGTACTATGGAGACAGAGACGAGCAACTAAGTGCGAACACGCGGCCACATTGTCAGCATAGTCGTAAGCCGCTGATGCCCTGCGGAAGAGTGCCTGAAGACACTGAGCTGAGACGTGGGGAGACTAGGCTTAGTAGAGAGGCTTTTGAAGTAAGGCGTGACAACAGCATCTCAACATGTGGCGACTGTTGAGAACCCCTTTGGCGGCTCTTCACTCTCACGTGCTCTTCGGACGCACTTCGCAGCACAGTGGCTGCAGGACCCCACACCTGAAGCCCAAAATCCTCTGCTTGAAACATGGAGAAAGGCCCTCCCTGGCCTTGGCATTGTTCGGGTTAGCATCGATGGCCAGGCTACATCTCTGAATGGCCTGGCTTCGAAATATGGGGTATCCCCAGCCCTGGATCCTACTGCTACCCCCGAGCTTGTAGGGTTTAGGGTTCCCTCAACCCTGAGCCTGAGTACCTTAGTGCCAGCTATGAAATCCGTTTTTCCCCCGCCAAGCCATAGCATAGCAATAGTACCACAGACAGCCTCCCTCCATAAAGCTTAATTCCTAGACTCTGAACTACATTATCGCAGTGGCCCAAAACAACCGCAAAGCATCAGCGCTCCATTGATCCCCGAGAATAGGGACCCAAGCCATTAGGATTTGGGTTTCGGGCTTGGGGCTTACAGTTGAGGCTTTACGGTTGAGGCTTTGAATGAAGGGCTATAGGGTTTAGGCTTTGAGGCTTGGGGTCGAGGGGGTGGGGCGCAGCGCTCAAGCTGAGGCTCAGGCTCGGGTTTTTTGATTTCCTCAATTGCCGTGCTTTGCTGGCAAAAGGCAAGAAGACCCTAGACCTTAAAGCCCTGAACTTCAACCTAACTCCCAAAGCCCTAAGCTCGAAACCCCAAGGCTGATCACAGACATGTCAGAACCAGGCATCGCGCGCCTTCGACAGCTGGCGATTGGCCGGATCCATGTACCTGCAAAAAGTTTAAGGGTTTAGTGGCTTATAAGGGGTTTAGCGTTTGCGGTTCAGGGCCAGGAATTCGGGGTGAAGCCGCTAAGGTTCAGGGCTTAGGGATTGACAGTTTAGGTTTAGAGATTTGGGTTCAGGACCTTAGGATTTAGGAGCAGCAGCAGCAGCAAGACCAGGAATCTCCTGCATAGCGCAGCACATAGGCACGCTCCTCGTGGGACAGGGCACAGTAGACTCCGAAAGCCACAGGCCCCAGAAGCGACTTCAGGAATACGCAATGTCCCTCTTGGCGCACATCTGCGCAGCATTCGCAGCTAGGATGGATAGCAGTTCGCGACCGTCTTCCGTCTGGGCTTCAAACGCCTCAAAAGCCCAAGATAGTTCGCTTCAGCAGTGATTTCAAGATACCACATAAAATGCTGTACCACACTATGCTATACTATACTGTACGATGCTATACGATACGTACTATACGATGCTATACAATATATATATATATATATATATATATATATATGTATATATATATATACTCGACTAAACTACCATATGAAAATACCGTGTGATGATATGCTGTGATATAGAATGATATACCATACCTCAGCTTCTCGAGCTTGGGGTTTCGGTCCTGAGGTTAGGGACTTAGGGTCATGAAGCCCTTACCAAGTCTTGCTTCCCTGATCTGGGTTTAGGGTTTTGGAGCACCTCTTTCCACCTTGCAGTTAAGGTCGGTAGAACCCACCAGTTGTGGAAGGCCCTAACCAGGGTTTAGGGTTGCGGGTGTCATGTACGTGATCACATCCCGGGCAAGGAAGGCCTTCAGCCCCTCATCGTCAAGCTCGTAGTTCAGCAAGCCTGGCCAGGCGCATGGTAGCTTTGGGATTTAAGAAAATTTAGCCATCACCCCTAAACCGTAAACCGAAGCCGGCCCAGAGCTGCACCCTAAGGCCGAATATTGAATTCTCCTCGGTCAATCCCGGAATCCCTGGCAGGTTGGCCCAACAGCCGGATACCCTTCTCATACTTCTTGAGGGCCTGGCAGGTGTGCAAAGCGATGCAGAAAGTAGGCTGGCAAGCTGGCAGGAAAGAGAGAGAGAGAGGGAGACATAGAGACTCTGTCCAGTCTATTTGCCTGGCTAGCTCAGTGATGTTTCATGCAAGCTTCCATACATGTATATATGCATGTATATATACTAATACATCTGTCTACATATTTGTACTGTGTAGAGATCTATGTCTCTAAATATACGTGTATGTGTGTGCATATATATACATATATACATTTACACTACACATGCATACATGCATACGATTTCTTGTGTAACTGATTAGCTGCACTCATAACCCTAGACTCTAGGTTTCTAAACCCTAAACCCGAAACCCGACATAAATCCTAAACCCTAAACCCTTCCTGGGCGGCTCAGCCTCCGCCTTCTCTCCCTGCTTTGCCAGGTCGTTGCCCTCTTCCTCGTCGGTCTGAGGTTCGGGTTTAGGCTTTGGGGTTTGGGGCTTGGGGGCTAGGGATTAAGGTTTTGGGTTTCGGGTCCGGGTTTGGGATCAGGGTTTAGGGTTTGGGGTAGGGTTTGGGGGCTGGATCAGGCTTGGGTGTAAGGGTGTAAGGGTTCAGGATTTGGGATTTAGGGTTGAGGGTTCGGAGGGTAGAGCAACGAAGGAAGCCTCAAGATCATAGTGGGATGCACACACCCTCGCAAGCAACACATGTCGGAGCCCTAAACCGCAAGCCTCAAAGCCTGAGGCCCAACAGCCCAACCTTTCCTCACTCCCTTGCCGGTCCTTTAGCGCTTTCGCCTGCAGGCATGCATGAGGCAGGGAGTTCCAAGATGAGGGTTTAGGGTTTAGGGCCTTTGGCATAGGGTTTGCTCCGTTCTCGGCTTCGTGGTCAACTAATTAGTTTGTATACAGTACAAGTACTAGACAACAACATACTATGACATAGGTTTATCCTATAATTTACGAAAGCTACAATATACCATAATGTACTAAAATATGCTAAAATATAACAGATGCTAGAGTATTCCTCTCGATGGCTTCGTGCTTCAGGTGCAGGCACCAGGCTTCTTCTGCTGGGCTATATATGCCTCACTGACAATGTCGCAGCTGCGGACCAGAATGGAGGAAACGACACGGGGTTCAAGAAATCTCGAGGGATTCAGCGAAGGCCAGGACCGCTGCTCTTGCGTTGCGAGACCATCCTGTAATTCAGCATCTACACGCGGGGCTTTGGCTCTTGAAGGACAAGGTTGGCCACATAACCAGCATGTTCAAGCTGACGCCAGCACCCGCCTGAGATCGCTTCGACTCCGGCGTTATCGCCTCACAGACACACACACACGCACACACAGACAGAAACACCCTCTCTCCCTCTCTCTCTCTCTCTCTCTCTCTGTGTCCTGGGCTTGTGGACACTCTCTCTCCTGTCTTTCTCTCTCTCTCTCTCTCTCTCTCTCTCTCTCTCTCTCTCTCTTCTTCTTCTTCAGCAGGGCATAAGGGGCGGATTAGGCCCCCCGGCCTCACGGGCCCCCCATGTGTTACGGGGCTTTCGGTGGGGTGTGACAAAGAAACATCAATTCCCCCAGCTCTCTCTCTCTCTCTCTCTCTCTCTCTCTCTCGCTCTGAAGAATTGGGCAAGATAGCTCACTAAAGAAATTTCGAGAGCGCGGCATTACCACCGGATTTTGTAATATATGCATCAGCAGTTCTAGTCTTTCCTGACTGCGGATCGACTCTGTTGCAGCGGTCCCCCTGCTGCCTGGAGCATCTCGACAGCAGCGCATCAAGTTGTTCGAGGATTGATCAGGCTACTACAAGGCACAATAAGGTACGGCTGGGGTACTACGGTTGATGATATAAATCCTGCATTACCTTAAGGACGCTAAACTATGGGAATTATGATATATTCCTTATTATGGGTAATGCAGGATTTATATCACCAACCGTATGAGGTCCTGTTAGGGCAGGAACCCTACTGCCAGGTCGTGAAGCCAGGGACTGGGGCCTGTGGGTTGCCGATCTGGGTTCTCTAAGGGTTCTCCGGTTGATGACATAGATCCTGCACTACCCATAATAAGGAATATACCATAATTCCCATAGTTTAGGGTCCTTAAGGTAATGCAGGATTTATATCATCAACCGTCTTGGCCTACTGGGATCCTGGAATTGCTTTCCAATCTGAGCTCCTTTTACACTAATCTTAGCTGTGGCTTCGTGGTAGCATCTAAATGGAGACTGTTAGTCTGTGCTTGACCCTAGGCATGTGCATCTTGTCTGCAACATGGCACAGCAGAAGCCAAAAGGCTGCAAACACACAACGCTTCAGAGGGCAAAACAACTCTTCGATATCGTGGCCAATACCCCCAGCTCCAAACCAAGATTGGGAAACCCAAAGCTTCATCGGGCACCGCTGGCTGTCATGGGTGATGAAGCGAAGGCGGTTGTCCCGCAAGTACCGCAGATGTGCCAAGTTCCGCCTGGGCTCAAGAACGAAATTGCCGTCACGTGACGAGCGGACGTGTGGAATAATGTAGGGACCTGATTAAGAAACCTGAGCCTTCATTAGGGCTCCGTATATGAATCCTACTATTTTGGGGTTATAGGCCCAGGGTTTCTTCATCAAAACACGTCCAACCGGAAAGCACTGTTTAAACATACTCTAGACTGTAGGCCACCCAGAACCCGGTGGCCTAAAGACTGAATGCCACAGTCGGTCAACGATACCTGTTTGCGCCTCACACACAAACGCTTAGCTTCTAAGAAACTAACTAGGGTTTGGGGTTTGGGTTTTAGGTTTTTAAGGAGAGAAGACATGAGGCCCTTCAGGGCCTGCATACACTTGTGATCCATGCCCTGTCACGATATCTGCTTCGGATTCGTATTCGAGTTGAGTTCTTCGTCCCGGCCACGGAGCAGCCTCAACACTAACTCCTAACCACGCAACCCAGAACATCCCAAAACCCTAAACCTAGAAGCAGCTAATCCTCAACGCCCTATGCAATCCTAAACTCTGAAATCATCAAGCAGTGAGGACCTTACCAGTCCAGCAGAAACAGCGGCAGGAAGACCACCGCCTCAAGGTGAAGGATGGCAATGCACCGTCGACATGACTAGGCTAGGGGTTTGTATTCCCAGGGAACCTTGGAAATAACGCTACGACGTATCGTGGATGGTGCTTAGACTTTTTGGTCACAAGTGGTACCTCAGCCTTTTGGAAGCCTCTTCCCCGTCAAGACTGACTTACACCTTCAAACCCCCTCTTTGATACATCTGTTCTGACGCTCATCCTCGCATGTCCACGTCACTTGGCTCCCAACCCAAAGCACCGGAAAGCCGAACGTCGACTCGGACCAGTCCCAGATGGCACTACCTCGGGGGGGTCGACAACACACTGATGATGTTAATACGATATGTAGTACTACTACTATTCGTTCGCACCGTAAGCACTATTCGTAATATCATTTTTAGGTAGTTATCATCAGTCCTCATATGTGCTGGCCGGAAACGGCTCAACACATTCCGAGTGTTGTTCTTCGGAGTCATTTTCGCGTGCGGCTTTGTGATCTGAAGAATCGGAGGCTCAGTGAGGGGCTGGAATGATTTGGGGCTTCGCCTCTAGGTTTTGAAGCGTGTGCCTTAACCCCCAAGAACCTTATATAAAGAGATCAGATTAGGGAGCCCTAAAAAGGTAGGTTGTTTGGGGTCAAGGTAGAGTTTAGGATTTAGGGGCACATGAAGAAGAGACCCATGCCCTCTAAGCAGCCCTTGGGATTCAAGTGGGACAACCCATAGCCCCGGGCGTAAACACTAATCCGGGTTTTTCGGATCCCACCTCCAGGATAGGCCAGCCGGCAGTACCTGCTCAGCTGCTAAGGGAAGGATGCAGCAACTGCAGCACTACCTGGCTTGCAAGGGCCCTTCGTATGAAATCCTAAACCCCAAACCCTGGCATCTAACCCCGAAACCCTAAACCCACTAAACCCTCAAAACCTAAAATCTAAACCCTGAACTCGTATAGCCTCAGGGTGCCCTGACAATCAACCTAATCGTAACCCTCTGTAGCAACCCAAAGGCCCCTGAAGAGCCGGGGTTCTTGCTAAGGGCATTTGGTTTAAGTTACCAGAATACAGAAACCACATTAGTTACCAGAATAAAGAAACCACATTAGTTACCAGAATAAAGAAACCACATTAGTTACCAGAATACAGAAACCATATTATTTACTATAGATTTCTATTATTATGGTAACTTACATGAAATTCCTCAACTCTTAAAGGCACCCTATAGATCCCTTAGAGGGACCCTTAAAGGAGGCCTTATAGATCCCTTAGAGGACCTTTATTAATAGATGCCTTTTTTTTGGTAGCTTACCATCGAAATTCCTTAAGAAGAGCCCAGAAACCCAGGGCACAGTAGCAGACCAAAGGCGCTATAGCAGAAGGACTGCTCGGCGAGGCGGGAGAGCCTGGAGCTTCAGGTTTAGGGTTTAGGGTTTAGGGTTTAGGGTTTAGGATTTAGGGTTTAGGATTTAGGGTTTAGGGTTTAGGGTTTAGGATTTAGGGTTTAGGATTTAGGGTTTAGGGTTTAGGGTTTAGGGTTTAGGGTTCAGGGTTTAGGGTTTAGGATTTAGGGTTTAGGGTTTAGGGTTTAGGGTTTAGGGTTTAGGATTTAATGGCCTTAGGGGTGTAGGGGTGTAGGGTTTAGGGGTCTTGGGGGTCTGAGCGGTTTAGGATTTAAGGGCTTTAGGGGTTTAGAGCTTAGGGTTCTTGCGGGTTTAGGGCTTAGGATTTAAGGTTTAGGGTTGAGATTGCAATCGGATTAAGGGTTTAGGAGTTTAGGATTACTGTGTAATGTAAACGGATTTAAGGGTCCGGTGGATCCTACTCCCACTTCCCTGCAGCCCAAATGTTGACCTACGAGGTTGTCGGTTGAATTTTCAGTTTATGGTCTTAAGGTAGAGAAATTGCAAGGGCATGGGGTGTTTCGCTGCGGCCTAGGTGCAAGCCAGAAAGGATGCAGGTAAGCTTCAGTCTCTCACTTCGCCTTCGCCCGCCCCCCCGCCCCACCCCCCGCACCGACCCTCAAAGTCTCATGTTCAGAAGAGGCCTGCGCTTGGTATCTCGCAAGAAGAAGGCTGACCTGACAAGAAACAGCTGCCGCGTCGCATGCACAGATGCCACTCCGCATGCATCTCCCGCATCTCCCCTCGGACAACCAGATACTATTATATACTATATCTCATATACTACAATATGCAATAGCATACGATCATATACTATGCCACATGCACATCTGACATGGTTGGCATTGAGGCGCTACGGGGCTTGGCGACCCGAGGGTGTCTCGGTGGCTGCGCTCGAAGCCTTGAGGTCGAAGCTGCAAGAACGACCACGACAGCCGCTTAGGCTTTCAGGTCCCAAATCAGAGCGCGCCGTCTGTGTCAGCCGGGAGCGAAAGTTTTAAACGATTAGCCCTGACTTTGAAGTGTTATTGCTAACCGTCAAAACGTCTGTCTGCCTGTTCGCGTTGTTCTGATTCTTCTTATCACTGCGAGTACAGTGAAATTGATAACTGTGGTCACTGTTGCTCTCTCTATTCATCCTTTTTTCATCATCCCCGCTACCACCATCATCACCTCTATTGCGGCGATGCAATTGAGACTTGTGCAGAGGAAAAGCTGTACGATGAAAAGAGCCTTGTGAGTCAAGCATGGCTCCACCGAAACAGAGCTTCCAGACTCAGCTGCCGACGTCTCGTCTGTCGGTTCCGCCTCCATGGCGCAAAGACGCCACAGCCATTCAGCTCGCTGGACCGGGGCAAGGGCTGTTCTGATTGAGCGTCCCTATTGGTGGGGGTCCTTGTCATAATCAACTCCAATCATTCGAGTACAAGGGCTCGCTGCTGAGCATGTGTGGCTGGTGAGCTTTAAGTTCAGGCCGCTGGGGCACGGTAGTGTCAACTTGGTTGAGGGGGCAGTTTGTATAAACAGATTGGAACCATGGTCATAGAAAAACATGTTTTCAAATTTGGCAACGTCCAGACACCTGGATTCCTGCATGTTAACCACTCGGCCCGTCGTGTTGGCCATATCGTTGTTCTGTTCCGGACTCCGACGAAATAATCTGAACGTTCTGCCCCTTTTTGTCTTCTGCTGGTGCCGATGTGGAAAGCTGCAGCAGAAACAGGATAATGTAGGGGCCTTAATAATTAGAATAGGGTTTCGGGGGTTCCTCATTACAAACATAGTATAAGTTTACCCCCAAGCCCTATCCCATTTATTTAGGCCCCTACGATACTCAGCACTCAGCATCAAGGCGAAAGCAACGCGTCGCTGTCACGCAAAGTCAGTGCAGATTACGGCGCAGCCTGCACTTTTTCCAGTGACATGTTGCGAGCGGTTGGTCAGCGGTCTACCGACGCTGCCCCAGTTCACATGCAAAGAAAACCTTCTAATTCTAAGCTTTCTGCCAGGGTTTACATTTTTTGAAGCCTCGGTTTCCAAACATACGCCTGCAAGACCTAGCACATGCTCTTCTCTGGTATGTAGTATGTAGAGCCATACGCACACGTGCGAGGGTGCACTCATCTGCAATGCCGTGCAAGAAGATCAACTGATTTACAAACATGCATAAGAACATGGAATGCCAATACAGTGTGGTGGCGAAAACACCATCATGTCAGGTAGACTAGCTGTCAGCACATAGATGGCAGTAGTAACATAAAACTATGCAGATTTGCTTCTAATACGCACTATTACACAAATGGGGC